TAGAAATCTTAAAGACCCCAGGGGTGCCTGGGTGGTTCAGTCGGTTGAGCATCAGACTCTTGATCTCAGCTCAGGTCTTGATCTCAGGGTCGTGAGTTCAAGCCCCACGTTGGGCTCCATGCTAGGCATGGACCCTACTTTAAAAAAAAAAAAAACACCAAAATGTTTTCTGTGTGGTTTTGCTATGTGCAGATACACAGCGCACACACACGCACACATATATATACTGTATGTAATTTTGCAGAAATACTACTAAATTAAAGATGTAAATTCCAGAATGATTATATTGTATTTTGTTTGGAATTTTATCAAGAATTGTCCACCATTTTTAAAGACCACGTCCACGGCAAAAATAATGCCCACGGGATTCACGTCGCCAGCACAGCTCCCCGCCCCACCCCAACGTGTCAGCTGCCCCGGGGGGGGGGGGGGGGCAAACACCTGACTGCTTTGTTGTGTCTCCTGTTTTATCTAATGCCTGAGCATTTGCATATGAAATATGCTATCTGATTGTAAATTGTTCTAGTTCTCCTATTATCTCAGATCCGGCACTTGTTCTGAAATTAGGCGTGTAGGTAGATTATGTTATCTGTGAATTTCATTTTGACGTACTAGCTAGGCCATTGTCAGATGATTATTATAAAACCTGGCTATTGGGTCTGATGGCTTGAGAACCTCTGCTAGTCCATCGCTCTCCAACTGAAATGTGTGTCAGAAGCACCTGCGTTTCTAAATGTGCGTTTCTAACAAGTTCCCCGGGGCTGCTGTCCCTACTGGTCCAGGGACCTCACTTTGAGAACCACCACTCACAGGCATCTCAAGTTGTCATGATTTTTGGCTCCCTTCTCAGCACCACCCCAGTGTCACTCTTAGCCCAGCGGAGTTGCAAGGCAGGCTGGTGCTGGGCATGGCTGGGCACACGGGCATGCGGGCGTGGGGGGTAAGGGCAAGGGTCGGTGGCCTCCCACGGACAAGCCCACAGTAGGTGCTCAGCAAACACAAGCAGGCAGGCTCTCCCGGCCTGGGGGGTTCTTGGCTCCCTGAGTCCTTCCGTGTCTGGGCACAGGTGGAAAACCCTGGCAGTCCCCGACTCCTGTTCCGAGCCAGGAGCCCACCC